AGAGAGAGAGAGAGAGAGAGAAGGGGAGTGGGAAAGAGAGAGAAAGAAAGGAAGAGAGGGAGAAAGAAAGAAAGAGAGAAAGAGAAAGAGAAGAAAAAAGAAAGAAAGAGAGAGAGAGTGAGAGAGATATAGAGAGATGGAGAGAGCGATGGTCTCTACTCAACGGGCACAAACAATAAAGGGGAACGTTTTCTTCATTCCACAAACCAGGTTTACCTGTGGAAAGACACGTTCTCCAGTACGACTGCTGCCCAGAGGTTTACATAGATTTGACCTACACCATCCACATCCGTCGGCGAACCCTTTACTACGGTTTCAACATTATCATCCCGTGTGTCCTCATCTCCTCCCTTACTCTCCTGCTCTTTATTCTGCCACCCGATGCAGGAGAGAAAATTTCATTGGGTGAGTAGTGCTGTTTTATTTTTGTCAAAGTCGTCCATCATCATCATCATCATCATCATCATCATCATCATCATCATCATCATCATCATCATCATCATCATCATCATCATCATCATCATTATTATTCCTCCCTTCCTCTTCCCCTCCTCTCCTCTCTTCTCCTCCTCTCCTCTCTACTCCTCCTCTTCCTGCTTCTTCACCTCCTTCCCTCCTCTTCCCCTCCTCCCGTCTCTTCTCCTCTTCCTCTTCCCACTCCTCCTCCCAATTCTCCTCCTACTAATAGTGTAGTATTTCTTGCACACGAATAGGTTCGGTGCGTTGCCAATCTCCTAATTACGTTTACTGTTGATCCCATGACGATGAACGCATTTCCCTAAACTTTATACCCTGGGCACATCCCTAGCTTGTTTGTTTTAACCTTGAACTAAAGAGCGATGGCTTTGATTCAGTCTTCCATAGGATATTTCTTGATTTTTGCGAGAATTTTTAAAGCTCTCCATTCTCTCAGCTGTGTCGTAGCCGTCGCCGCATAATAAGGGTTTCTCATCTTACTGCAGGAGGTATTTATGGATCAAGGAGGTAGAATCTATGTCCAATACGTAATCAAATATAAACAACTTCGTCTCTTCTTGGGAGTCCTAAAGGTTTTCGTGGGCCCAGTTTGGGCACAGCACTGTGGAGCTTGTTATTTTGCTGCTCACTCCAGTGTTTCACCCACTAACTGAGGGTATGAATCTGTTTCGATCTTGTCCCCCCCCCCACCCCCGATCCCTGCAGGTGTGACCATCCTCCTATCCCTCATGGTATTTCTGCTGCTGGTGGCGGAGACGATGCCCCCGACCTCAGACGCCGTGCCGCTCATCGGTAAGCCTCACCTACACCAACCTGGCACTTCTTGTTCTTGTTCTTCTTGTTCTTGTTCTTGTTCTTGTTTTTGTTCTTGTTCTTGTTCTTGTTCTTGTTCTTGTTCTTCTTCTTCTTCTTCTTCTCATTTTTTATTCTTCTTCTTTCGCTCCAGGTATCTACTTTGCGTGCATCATGATGATGTGTTCCCTGTCTATTGTATTCACCGTGGTCGTCCTGAACTTTCACTACCGCTCGCCTGATACACACACCATGCCTCGATGGGTGAGTAGTTAGTAGTTTACTATAATCTTATTGGTTGCCTATTATCAGGAGCTTCTGGAAAGCTACAAGTGGAGCAATAATAATAATAATAAATAATGCATTGCACTTATATAGCGCATATCCACTTATGCAATGCCCTATGCGCTTAACATAATACATATTATGGATTTACAAATCAATTTTAAAGGTACATAGTGTTACATACTCATGCAAACACATATTCACTCACGCACGCACCTCACACACATACATACACACATACACACACACGTACATATGCACATACGCACATACAAACTCACAACGATCTACAGCTTGGATGCATTCTGTCTAATCGAAATATGATGAAAATAGAAATGATTTTAGTTTCTTCTTAAAAATTTCTAGATTTTCTGCTTCTCTGATAGTTTTTGGAAGCCTATTCCAAACAAGTGAGACAAAATATGAAAAAGAGCGTTGGCCATATGATTTGTAATTTATTTTAGGCTTAACAAGGGTTGCTCTGTCACTTGATGATCTGAGCGTTCTAGGAGGCACATAGGGTGTTAAAAGCTGTTTTAGATAGTCCGGTGATAAATCATTTAAGCACTTGTAGCAAGTTAAACAGATTTTATATATGATACATTCTTTCACTGGGAGCCAGTGTAATGCTTTTAAGATAGGAGTCACATGATCATGCTTTAGTCTTTTAGTAATTATTTTGGCAGCAATATTTTGTACTCTTTGTAGTTGTTGTAACTGTTCATCAGGTACACCAGCCAGTAAGGAATTGCAATAATCAATCCTTGACAATATAAGTGATGTTATTAAGTTTTGGTGACACCAACAGATAGATATTTTCTAATGCTCCCTATTTTCTTCAGCTGGAGATATAGATTTTTTACAAAGATTGGATACATGGTATTTCATTGACATATCTTGGTCTAGCACCACACCTAAATTAGTGATTAAACTGTCATTACGGTTGAAGTATGACTGATGTTTTACGTTTACTTTTTTTTGGGTCAAAATTTGAGTCATTAAAAATTGATGCAGACGTGACAAAGAACCTCTTTTATTCTTCGATTAAAGGCTAAGAAAAAGACCCCACCCCACCTCGAGTGATATCAGTATTAAACTTCGCAGTCAAAGCATGAGCAAGATACCAAAGAATATATTGGGATTGGCTGGAAAGTTACACTTACCGACTAGTTTGTCAGTATGTTCTGCCAATAGCATTGAGGAGAGTCGATTGTGAAAGGGTGTGTCTTTGTTCACTTTGCTGTTATTCAAATCAATGCTAACGTAAGTGAGCGCAATGTGTGTCTGCACTGGGAGAAAGAGAGGGAGTCAGAGAGAGAGGGAGAGAGAGAGAGAGAGAGAGAGAGAGAGAGAGAGAGAGAGAGAGAGAGAGAACTCTAGGTTTCAGACATTCCAACAGCACAAAAGAATGCGAAATATGAAGACAAGACATTTATCAGCAATGAGCAGGGAAAGGAGGGTCCGGGATGATAATGCCTGCAGCCAACAGACAGTATTCTGACATGTGTGGGCAGCAAGAAGTCTGTTTATCTTCCTAGGTAGAATACTGAGACATATTGTTGGGAAATAAATGTCGAGGTAACAGTATCTTTCCAAGTCGAGGTCCGACTATGTTACAACTGCGCCGTCACTTGCTGTTTGTTATGTACTATAAGCCAAACTGACTCTGGATCTGGCAAGATGTCTTTCAAATCATGTTGTTAAATCGAAGTAGAAAAAGAACACTTGTCTATGCTTTTAAACTATACAACATGTGTAAGGCGTGCGTAAGGCCTTGCGATTCAATGTGTGTACTGGTATGCACGTGCAGCTAAACATTACCGCCACAACTACCACCACAACTACCACAACAACAACCATCCCAACCACAACCAAAACCACAGCCACCACCACCACTAACACCTCAACCACCAGCACTAGTACCAGCAAAACCACCACCATCACCTAAAACACCATAACCACAACCATTACCACCACAGCTATCGCTATTATTACAAAGTCATTAAAAAAAATCTATAAAAACTATTCCAACAAAAGATTTGAAAGATCTATTTAAAACGTTTGCTGGTATTGAAGAAAAACGTCAGCTCTGTTCACAGTTCACCTAGCAGAACCTGTTTCAATCCCTTCCGTCTTTGCTTCTCTTCCTGTAGCATTCACTCACTATCACACAGCGGGGCCTGAACACGAAATGCTAAGCCCCAATGAGTAGCAATTAGTGGGCAGACAGCCACGAAAGGAACTGGCTCTGTGGCGCCACCTAGTGTTTAGTCGACACGATACCCCCGTGTCTCGCAGGGTCCAATAGTAACAACTGCGGGGATTGAACCCACTAATAGAGCCTTTCGAGGCCAGTATGGAACCATTATGGACCATTAAGAAATAGCCTGGACTCCCTAGGGATATGATTTCTCTTCGTATGTAATATAAGATTATTGTTAGATATCATGACGCTACTGACAGACACTGAGAGTTGAAGTATTATGCCAACTGACCTGTGAATTATTCATTAAGTACACCTCTGTCGGCCAGTCAGTCAGTCAGTCTGTTCGTCCGTCTGTCTGTATGTATGTCGTTATATCTGTTTCTCTGCCTGTTTGTCTATCGTTCTGTCGGGTTGTCTGTCTCCCCAGACTCATTGTCTACCTGCCTAACCTATTTTTAGACACACACACACACTCTCTCTCTCTCACACACACACACACACACACACACACACACACACACACACACACACACACA